CGATTTTGATATGGAACTAGTGCTCCTACATAGTTCACATCTTCTTCTTGAAATGCTTGATTAATGTGATCGATATCACTAGGTCCTTCATCTTCTGCGCCATTGTTGGTCTCACAAGCATGGATTAGGCGATTGTTGCTCTTCAGAAGCTGGCTCATCATGTTCTTCAGCTCGGTTATCTCCTTGTTCTCTGTTCCGGTTTGCTTTGTCGATCGATCATATTCAGGACAATCATTGCTATTGGCCTGAGCCAAATTTTCGATGAGGGCTTTTCCTTGGGCTATCGTCTTTTGTCCAAAATCTCCATTGCTAGCTGTATCAAGTGAAAGTTTGTATTTTGGTTGCAAACCTCGGTAAAATATGCTCAGCAGGCTTGATCCATGAAATCCATGGTGAGGGCAATCACGTTCATACTCCTTAAAACGTTCCCAGGCTTCATAGAAAGATTCAGTTGGCCCTTGTTGAAAGTTTGAGATCTTTGTTCTCAACTGATTCGACCTTGACTTAGTATAGAAGTGGTTCAAGAAAGCAGTTTTACATTCTTCCCAATTAGTGATCGATCCTGCAGGCAAAGATTTCAACCAACGGTGAGCTTTGTCTGCTAATGAAAAAGGAAACAACTTACACTTTAAATAGTCTGGTGGAACTTGGTTTGTTCTCATCATGCTGCAGATTTCTTCAAAGAGCTTGATATGGTCCATTGGGTGTTCAGAAGGAACTCCATGGAATTGGTTTTGTTTCACCAATGAGATGATTTGAGGCTTGACTTCAAACTCATTCCGGTTTGGAAATGGAACTTGAATTGCAGATCGGTTCTGAAAATTTTGAGTGGTTGGCCGCGGTTGGGAGGCTTCTGACCGCGGGAAATAGGCTGTTGGCCGCAGTCGCGTGACTTGCTGGCCGTCTTCGAGTGGCTCCGGGGCTAATGGAATATCTTGAAATCCAACCGTTGGAATGTCTCCAAACCAAGTGCATTTGAAAGCTGGTTTATTCTTCTATAAGTTGTCCAATTTTGAGGGTGATCAGACGGTGAGAAGGTCTTCGTCTCTACATGAGAGTTCTGATGGTCTGCATTTATCCAAAAGAGTCTTTTTGTTCCAATTTGTGCCTCTTTATCCCAAATTACCTGAAAAGTCTTTTTAAAATCTGGAAACATAAAAATCCTTTGAAAACTTTTGAAAATGGAGTAAAAACACCTGTAAAAGATATAAAAGTGATCCATAAAAATGGTCAAAATCCGGTGTTATCATCGACTCCGGTAAACCTTATCGTCAGACCTTTCCTTTCTCGGTGCCCAGAAAGAAACCCTAAATCGAAAACTACATTTCTCCGTGGTTTATAAAGAAATAACCCACGTGCCACTTGTCCTTTTAGTAAAACCTAAACGCAGCATTTGACATAAGTATTTTGTCAATGTCAAACCTTCGGCATGTTCACTGTTTCTCCACCAAGTTGACAACATGCAAGGATGTGCCCCCAGTGACTTGCAATCGGTGTTCGTCTATCTCTTGCACATGCAGATGCTTGGCAGCATCAATCCTGAGTTGAAAAGGGAATAAAGTCTACCATTATATATATCAATCATTATGTAAATCTACCATTACTTTATATAAATCTACCATTACATTATATAAATCTATCATTTAATCTACCATTACATTATATAAATCTACCATTCCATTATATAAATCTACCATTACATTATATAAATCTTTACCTGTAGCAATTTCTCAACACCATTAGTAAGTTCTGTTTTCATCTGACTTGCGGACCGGCGTCTTTTTGCATACCATGTGGTTAAAAGCGATCTTATCTCTTCTAAAAGAGTAACAATAGGAACACTTTTAACCTTTGAAAGGACCTTATTTAGGGATTCGGCAATGTTGTTTGTCGTGAAGTTGTACCTATCTCCCGGAAACTGAACTCTGGTCCACATGCGTACATCCGCTTTTTGCAAGTAATTATATAGACCACGGTTAGTATTTCCAATCTGGGCAAATAAAGCATCAAACTCTACTAGCCTATATGCGGTGGGTGCCTTCTTTACTAATTGGAAAGCTTCCTCACCTTTAAATTTCTGCAAGATATTCTTATGCAAATGGTATGTACAAATACCACGACTACATAGGGGGTAAACCTTCCGTATTGCGTTTCCAATAGATCTATGCCTATCTGATATGATGGCAAGTCCTTCATCGTCCGGGATGACCCTGTGTAATTGTCTAAAGAACCATCTTGCATTGAGGCAATCAGTAGTATACCTTTGTATGGACTTTTCAGAAATGTTCCATCAACAACCACTACTTTCCGCATAAATGGGAACCCATATATACTATCTAGCACCAAATGCGATGAACGTAAATTTGAACTTGTCCTCGTTGTCAACTTCAAGCTTGATTAAAGTCCCAGGGTTAGCCCTTCTTATCATGCATGTATAAGTATGCCGGAAGTTCCTCGTACCAATTCTCTGAACTTCCAGTAAGTAGTTCGTGTGCATACTTTAATACACGATATGCCTTCCAATACTCTACCTGAAAGATCATGTTGCAACTGTAATAAATCTACCAAACTCAAGATAACTCTACTAAAGCAAGGCCAACTATGTCAACAAAACTTTATAAATCTACCATAATACAAACAAATCTACCAAACTAAAAATAACTCTACTAAAACAAGGCCAACTATGTCAACAAAACTTTATAAATCTACCATAATATAAACAAATAAATCTACTAACCTTAACTTCATATACTACCAAACTCTACCAAACATAGTACAAGTGTTGACCCTTATTCCATAACGTTTTGTAAGAGCATCAGCGACATGATGTGAGGCGACAGTCGGTCCAACACCACCTACGAAATCTTTATACAGTCTTCCAAGTATCTCATATGTTTTTTGCCGGGCACGAGAGGACTGCAAGGTGATTGAACAGGTGTGCATTGAAACATACATTTTAACATAGAACTTAGGACTATCTCCAATAGTCGAACCATGAACCCTCCATGTACATCATTCTACCCAACACTTAACCGTCAACAATTTGGGTGTTGAATAACCCACATCAAAGTCGAATTTATTTGCAACAGCATGCATCTTCAATCTTGTCTCGAACTCCTCTTTATTGTCATAACATTGGCCAACAGCTAAGTCTACCGACTTAATTTCTATCTCCAAATAATCAGGGATCGTTGAACATCCTCGTTTCTTTGGTAGCAGGCTCTGCATGTCTTCTTCGGCATCAGAATACTTTCCACTAGTTCCGTACTCTTCGTCATCAGTACTTGTTCTGCCTGAGTCTTCGCAATTGTTAAATCTATCTTCATCATCATCATCGTCCTCTTTCATTTCGCCATCCTTCTCTTTATCAGCTCGTCCAGATTTTTTCCCAACGCCATGATCACCTTGATCTCCTTTGTCGATAATCTCGACGCACAAGCGGACTGTATCTCTCACGGATTGATTCAAAAAACCTCTCAACTGTCTTGTACTCACAACAAAAACCGGAGGGGTATCTCTTGGTAACTTCTTTAATAACCTCTTGGGTAACATATAGCTCAATCGAAGCTCATACATACATGGATCCAAACCGAAATCTTCGTATACCATCCCAACGAAATTGCAAAACTCAATTTGACGATCCACTCCAATAACTCGATATTTTTTTATTAACCAAGAAAAGCCAACGATTTTCATGAAATACCATTTCCCAAATACAAGAATAATTTGCTCCATAAGAAAAAGAAGAAGTTAAACAAAGCAGGATCGGTGGCGGCGGCTACCCTATTTCAAAGTCCTTGGTTGCGTGGTAAATTTGGCAAATATGATGTGTAGTCACGGGAAAATTTGCCATTTACCATAAACCACTAAAAAAAGTCTACCATAACAGAGATTCAATGTTACTTACATTAGTCTACCAATTATATCTAGATCTACCAATTGACCACAAATCTACCAACCGAATTTTCGTAAATCCATCTAACTAATCTACCACTTCAGATGTTAAATATACCAACTCAAAACTAGATCTATCAAAAATATGAAATCTACCATGTATAGACAAAAATCTACTACACTCCATAATTAACACGACACGTTTTATGTGTTTTATACTATGCCATAACAACAACTTAGTTTACCGTGGTATGAGATAAATCTACCTAACATGTCAAAATCTACCTTAACTAAATAAAATCTACCGCTACATCAAGATCGGAAGTTCACGTTTACTGCGTTTTTAACTTTACCGTAACGAACAATGAATCTGATATGCGATAACTCTACCGGTGAAATATAAATCTACCACATTATAATAAGTCTACCGTGATTGATATTGTTGACATCGGTCACAAAATCTTCCGTGCCTAACGTAAAATCTAGCTGGCGGAAAATATTATCAACCATTGCATGACACAAAATCTACCGTCCAGTCAAATATCTACCAAAAAGTCAACTATCAACAATTATTTTACCAGTGAATAATAAATTTGCCCTCAAAACAAGAAAAATCTACATACCAAATTAAATCTACCCCCCCCCATAAACATATATCTACCAAAACATGTCTACCAACGCAAAAATTACTCTACCAATCAAAAATAAATTTACTGACCAAAACCATAAATTTACTAATAATATTTAAAATCTATTATTTTAAATAAATCTATCGTCAAGAAATTGGTAGATTTATATGTTGAAACGCACTGATGTAATAATGACATTTTTGTAATAACAGTTTTTGCTAACAAAACTGAAAAAGATAAAAATGGTATGCAAAATTATTCTAGTAATTTTGAAATATTAGTATTATTACATTAATTATTACATTATTTTGAAATTTTTATAAGGTTAGTTTAGTTATTCTCTCAATATTTTAACATATCACAGATCTAGATTGCTCATCATGATCTTATAGATTTAACCGTCACCATTAAAAAAAATAGTCAAAATAAAACAAGACTAAATAAATTTCAGTGCCCCAGCAAAAAACATTCAAACACATGGCACCACCGGACGATAAACACTTCCAATCTTCAAAACCAGCCATCCCCACCGCTCCTCCGCCGATCCCAAATGGAGCTACAAACTCAAACCCCATTCCAATCCCGCCACGTCATCATCCTTACCGGCAGCAACCTTACTCCCACCAACAACGACGGTGGCAACGGCCAAGCAACCGCCGGATCTGCTGCTGCTGCTGTTTCTGGTCAATCTTAATCCTCCTAATCACAATCCTCATCGCTTCTCTAATCGCAATCGGACTTTACGTCATCTACCACCCTCGTCCACCGTCATTCTCCGTCGCTTCTCTCCGAATCCAGCGCTTCAATCTCACCACATCCCCCGATTCCTCCTCCGCCGCCCATCTCTCTTCCTTATTCAAGCTAACCCTGATCACCAAAAACCCTAATTCACACTTCGTTTACAATTACGAGCCGTTCTTAGTCTCCGTCGTGACTGATCCAGACGAGATCTTCCTCGGGAACGGTACGATTCCGGCTTTCTCGAGCGGAGAGAAGAATATGACTTCGTTTAGAGGGATCGTGGTGACATCGACGGAGACTCGTGAGGTCGATTTTGGGGATGTTTCGGGTTTGAAATCGGATTTGAAGAGGAGAAATGGATTGGATCTGAAGATTTTGATGGATACGAAAGTGGAAATTAGAATGGGGAAATTGAAAAGCAAGAGAGTTGGGATAAGGGTTTCTTGTACTGAGATTAAAGGAAGTTTACCGAAAGGTAAAGCTTCTGCTACTTCAATGGCTTCCACTGATAAATCGAAGTGTAAGGTTGATCTCAGGATCAAATTTTGGAATTGGACTTTTTAATTTATATTTGTTTTAGTATACAAAATCGGATTTGTGCATTTTTTTTTACACTTGATTTCTGTTGTATCGTGGACCAAAGTTGAAAATTTGATGTAACATTAATATATTATTTTTATGTTTTTCATATGCAGTGTTTCTACGAGTTATGAAAGGAAACGTTATTCTTGGCTCCCCTATGGATCAATGTTATACTTCTTCTGATCTGAATAAATTAAGAATGTTCTGAATTAAGTGATGTTTTAACATTGTGCATACAAATTAAAAAAATTATACTGAGTTTAGAATTTTTACTTCAAATTATATCAATAAATAAAGTCAAATGAAGTTATTTTATTTTGATTTTATATAAATTTGTGAGAACATCACTGATTTAAAAACAAAACAAATCTTCTACAATATTAACTAATTCAAAACAGAAGAAATATTAATATTTTTTTTTATTCTGCAGTTCGTTATCATGACCAAATTAAAAGGAAACATGATCTAATAACATTCATATGTTAAAAGTCAGCGTTTAGAAAAGACACAGTTTTCTCTCTCCTTACGAGACGACTCCAAAAGCAATTAGATCTCTCTAACCCTAGCCGCCGCCGTCGGTGGGCTTCTCGCCGCCGACGAGAACTCTCCTCCCCCCTCTTCTTCATGGCCTCATCCGCCTCTCTCACCCTTTCTGACCCTCTTCCCCCTCCTCCCCCTCCAATCCCCCCTGATCCGCCTTACCGTATTGTAACCTCATTTCCGCTGTCGGGGCTGTTTTCCCTGCTGGTCTCTTCGCTGGCCTCTCCGGCAACTGGTTCTCCGCCTCCTTCTATCCCAGATGTCCCTTCCTCATCGGGCTCTGCAGTTCCCCCTTCAGCTCCCTCAGCGCCGCTATCCCCAGATCCACCACAGATTTGTAAGGTATCGAGCAAGGATTTTAATTGGGCATCAAACATCAATACTAAAGGGAAATTCCCAGCTTCTGAGGCGCCAGTCTCGGTTTCTCCAGATGGACGCCCTCGGGTCAAAATATCCAACGCAGTTTTCGAGTTAGGAGCAAAACTTCACTTCGATTTCATCGTTGGGATCTTTTATGGTAACGCCCCCTCATACGGAAATGTGTGGGGTGTGCTAACTTACCTCTGGGGAAAGGATAAGCGAGTAACAATGCACAAACTGAACCAGAATGCTTTCCTCTTCCACATCCCTTCTCCAACTCTTCGCAGCGCATTCTCCAGCATGAGCTCTGGCGTGTTGGCGACTCTCCGTTCTTCGTGACAGAATGGAAGGCATCCTATAGTACGGACCCCCTTCCCTCCTGAAAGTGCCAATCTGGACTTCGATTCAAAATATACCGTTTGATCTGGTCACGGAGGAAGGCACAGTAATCATCGCTAAGCTTTTTGGCAGACTCGTTGCCGTCAAACCGTTCACAAAAATTGACTCTTTTGAGATCAAAGTGGTCATGGACTTGACCAAACCTCTCCCGCTTGAAGTGGAAATTGAAAGTGAAGATGGCTCAGTCACCGTCTTGAGCGTCTCCTACCCATGGTTGCCCCCGCTATGCTCCTTCTGCCAAGAAATTGGTCATAAAGAAGGTCTTTGTCCCAAAAAGCCTAAGCAGAATGCTCCTGAAAAGAAAACTCCCAAACCCAAGAAAATTGTGGTATCCCAACCTCAGGAAAAAGTTTAACGCCAAGTAAGCAACCCCAAAAATCATCCTCCTGTGGATATCTCACCCAAAGAGACAATCCAGTATCACCAGAGCATCGTCGAGTTGGTTACTGCGGTCTCCCCCCCTCTGGCCCATACGGATGTGGTTGGCTCCTCTGGAGATCGCTCCCTGGACCTCTCCAAGGCAATCTCACTCCCCCAGCCCATCGCCAAACCTTCTTCTCAGGCCATTATCCCCGTTGATGCAGAAACCGCTCTTGTGTCTGCTAACCAGTTTGCTATCCTTGGGGATGCCACCCTGGACTTGGTATCGGTCTTGGAAGGTCAGTTGGAAATTTGGAAACCTGATAAGGGCACATCCTCTCTATCCTCATCCCCATCACGGAAAAAGTCGAAGAAACGCAAAGTTCTTTCGAACCATTCTCCACCTACATCTAGAGACCTTCCTCTTGCAATAGAGGATCGTCCCCCCAACTAAATCATCTATGTCGGATACATTTTTTTGGAACGTGCGGGGTCTTAATGAAAGCTGTAACCATCGCCCACTCGCCAACTGGATTTCTTCTCGTTCAGTAACGTTTGGAGCTCTTATCGATTGGAATCAAACCAGAACCAGATCCTGTCTCACATCGGTCAGAACTGGTCTGTCATCTCAAACTATCATTTTTCTAGCTTGGGAAAGATATGGATAATATACAAATCTCCAACTACCGTCAATCTTTTGTACTCGGATCTACAGTCTATCACCTGCGAGATCATCTTGGAGGATGGCTCCTCCTTCATTTATTCTGTTATCTATGGATCCAATATTGAAGAGGAAAGACAAAGCTTAAGGACTTCTCTTGCTGATACCCACGCCTCTTTCTCCCTTCACTCAAAGCTGTGGATTGTTTGTGGAGACTTCAACGAGATCATCTCCCCATCTGAAACCTCAAACCCTAACATAAATAGCTCGTCTGCCCCTATGCGCCGGATGAGAGATTGCCTCCTCTCTATTGGTTTATTCGATCTTCCCTCTCACGGTCCTCTCTATACCTGGACTAATAAGAGACTTGCGGATCCGGTGGGGAAAAAGTTGGACAGATGCCTTGTAAACGACCAATGGCTTCTCATCTTTTCTGCAAGTCATTGCTCTTTTGAAGCCCCAGATTTCTCTGATCATACCCCCTGCCATATTCGATTATTCTCGGAGCCTCCATCTTTTGGTACTCGCCCTTTCAAGTTTTTAAACTGTTTAACGAAGCTTCCATCTTTTCTGGATACAGTTTCAAGCGCTTGGAGTGAGGCGGGTACAGTGGCGGTCAACTGCGGTGATCTCTGTTATAAGTTGCGGAGAATAAAAAAGGATCTAAAAGCTTTATCCAGAGAGAACTACAGCAATATTGTGAAAAGGGTTGCTGAAGCATCCGATGTTCTTGCATCCATGCAGCTTGCCTTGCTAAACGACCCCTCTGTTGTCAACTTAACCTGGGAAAAGTCCGCCATGAGTATCTGGATTGCTCTTCGGGAAGCTGAGGAGAGCTTCTTTAAGCAACGATCTCGGGTAAAATGGCTTGCTGAAGGCGATTCAAACACGACCTTCTACCACAACTACACCAAAATCCGAAATGCTACAAACGCCATCAAGCACATCCTAAAGGCAGACGACTCCACAACGTCTTCGCTCCAGGAGGTTCATGAAGTTGCAGTTGACCATTTCTCATCTTTCATGAATACATTCAGAGGAGTCTTCTGTCCTGCTCTCCCTGATTTTCTAAATGATCTGCAGCCCTGTCGGTTATCTGAATCCCAAGCGGCTTGTCTTATCTCCCCAATCTCTTCGGAGTTGATCAAAGATACGCTCTTTCATATGCCTTTGGGAAAAACTCCAGGTCCAGATGGTCTCCCGGCTGAGTTCTTCAGAGCAACCTGGGGTATTTTGGGTTCTGAGGTTTGCTCGGCGGTAAAAGATTTCTTCTGATCATCGTTCATCCCTACAGCACTGAATAACACCTCTCTGGTGTTGATTCCGAAAAGACCAGGCGCCGAGTCCATCACTGAATTCAGACCGACAGCTTGCCTGAATACAACCTATAAGATAATCTCAAGGATCCTGGCTGATCGCCTAAAGCAGCATCTCCCGCAGCTCATAACTCCCAATCAAACCGCCTTTGTGAAGGACAGACTACTCCTGGAAAATGTTCTTTTAGCTTCTGAAGTTCTTCTTGGATACCACAAGGCCTCTTCCCCTCCCAGAATTACTCTGAAAGTGGACATATCCAAAGCCTTCAACTCTGTTAGATGGGATATTGTGCTCAGTGTTCTCCAGGAGCTAGGTGTTCCGGTGGCTTTCATTCAGTGGATTCGAGCTTGCATTTGCTCCGCAAGCTTCTCTATCAATATCAATGGTGTAACTTCGGGTTTTTTCAAGAGCAAATCCGGCCTCCGCTAAGGTGACCCCCTATCCCCGACCTTGTTTGTCCTGATAATGAACATCCTATCTCACATGCTTAACAAGGCTGTCGAGGGAGGTATCTTTGGTTATCACCCAGGGTGCGAAGATCTCAAACTGTTGCATCTTTGCTTCGCTGACGACCTACTCATATTCTTGGAAGGATCTGAAAAAACTATTGAGGGTGTCCTTGCTGTGCTTGGTGTCTTTGAAAAAATCTCCGGGCTTGCTGTAAACATCGACAAAACTTCTATGTTCTGCTCGGGAGTCCCTGATGACATGCTTCATCGCATTCACACAAAGCATGGGTTGACCCCATCATCCCTTCCGGTCCGCTACCTGTGCCTTCCGCTTTGCTCAAAACGTCTCTCCATCAAGGATTGTGATCCGATGTTATCCCAAATCCAAACCAAGCTGGCTAGTTGGTCGTTGAAGCTTCTGAGCATGGCAGGGCGTCTGCAGCTCATATCTTCAGTCATCTCGGGAATAACTGGTTTCTGGTGTTCTGCTTTTGTCATTCCTTGGAAAGTTATTAAGAAAATTAACAGTCTCACCTCTTCCTTCCTTTGGAATGGTTCTCCGGATATTCACTCGGGAGCAAGGGTTTGCTGGCAGGATGTTTGTATGCCAAAAGCGGAAGCCAGTTTAGGCCTGTGTAACCTCACTTCATGGAATGAAACTTGTACTTTGAAGTTGATTTAGATGATTTTCTTCCGCAGTGAGTCCCTCTGGGTTGTTTGGGTCCGAAAAACATACCTCTCTGTTGGTAGTTTCTGGTCTCAGAATGACTCAAACAACAGGTTTTCATGGATGTTCTGTAAGCTTCTGCGTCTTCGATCAAAAGCGACAACTTTCCTCTCAATAGAAATTGGTAATGGCGAAGATACTTTCTTCTGGTGGGATCCATGGACGCCCTTCGGTTCATTAATCAGTTTTCTTGGTGATCTTGGCCCCTCTCGTTTGGGCATCCCCGTTGATAGCCTAGTTTCGGATCTCATATCGGACAGGAACTGGATTCTCCCCCCGGCGAGATCTGACACACAGACCCAGCTCTACTCTTTCATAACCCAGATCATTCCATCTACCTCTAGTGACCGGCCCGTTTGGAAAATTTGGTGTTTCAAAGCTAAGTTTCCACTCCAGGGATGTTTGGAACAAAATCCGTGTCACTAAACCGGTAATGTCTTGTACCGTTTGGTGTGGCACAAGGTGAACATCCCAAAACACACGATCACCTCCTGGCTCTTCATGCTAAATCGAAACCCAACTCTTATCAGAATATCCTCTTGGGCTGAAGATGTCGATACAACGTGTTTGCTGTGTGGCCTGGAAGAAGAATCTAGAGACCATCTCTTCTTCGAGTGTCAGTTCTCTTCAGAAGTATGGCGGCTCCTGATGTCGTTTCTCTTCTTCCCAAATGCTCCGTCCAATTGGTCTATCTCTTTAGCTTGGATCGAATCATTCAAAGCTCCCAAGCATCTTGCCCTCGCAATCCGTCAAGGTTGGCAAGCGTCTATTTATGAGATCTGGTTGGAGCGAAATAGAAGATTTCATCAAGGCCTCTCTCTTCGTCCTCGCCAGATTCTTCTAAAGATCCTTTTGGTTCTCCGTCACAAGGCCAAAGCGCTTCAGTGTAAGGGTTCCAAATATGGGACTCCTCTCTCCTTGACTTGGCAACCTCCTTAGTCCTTCGGTTTCGACTGCGTTTGTGGTCTGATTGTAGTTTCTATTCGTCAGGTTCTCTGTCTTCTTGGTTGGTGTTTTGTCAAGAAACTGTTGTGATAGACAGTTTTTTCTCCTTTCTTTCCCCTTCTTAGTTTGATCGATGTTTTTGTTTTTCTGGTTCTGGCTTGATTCCTTGTATCCTTTTAACATTCATTAATTCAAGTAAGCCCTTTAACAAAAAAAAAATGACCAAATTAAAAGTAATAAAAAATATTCAATAGCTCGAAGCCGTGATTTGAAAGCATACATTCAAAGCTAGATTTTGTTTAATAATTTAAAATGACTATTTGCATTCAATTGCAAAAATAGTCTCCTAGGTTGCATGAAAACTCTAGTCGCAGTTGAATACGCGGAGAAATGCATTAGAAATGTGTTTCCTAAAAATCTTAATATTGAAACACGATAAATACATTCAATTTCACCGAATAATCTATTTACTAAATTTTTTATTAAGTCAAAGTATAATATTTATAATACTATTCGACTAATAAAGACTAAAACAACTCTCTCTCTCTCGAAATGACGACTGAGAAAGTACGGCCATAATTGAGGATGGATTCGATTGGGATCTTGAAGCAATCAAAGGATCCTCTTGCGGTGACGCTAAATCTCGAAAGGAATCTTGCTTCTGGGAAATTTTGTGTTTCAGATGTTAGGCTAAGAGATATGATGTCATCATCTTCTATTCCGAATTCTGAAAACTATATTATCCTACCCTTTTGATCGTATTTTCAGACTTTTTACTCGCTCATTCAAACAACCTCTTTTTTCCTCTCAGGCTCTTTGGATAATATATGAGTTTCAGTTTTTTTTAAAAAAAAGGTTGCCGCCAAAAAAAATCAATAAAATGTCTATGCCAATCTGGGTGCTGTAAGGGGAAGCGGCCACCATTCAAAAACTTCAAACCATACGTGAGCAGGATCCAAGAGAGGAAGAGAGCGATGATAATAATATCTATAAATTATGATTTGTGGATTTTGTTAATTAACTGTTGTTGTTGCTGTTATGGAGTTGTGTGTAGATAATAATCTAAATAACATTATCAATCAGTCTACGTTATTTCTTTGACCTGTTATGGTCTTAGTATTGTCTTCCATGCTTTTAAGACAATTTCTTTCATGTACGGACCATCACCAGGTTGTTGCTAAAATGTTGGCAGCACTGGTATTGATTAATTAGATTAGGGAGGATTGCTATTGTGACCTTAAAAATAGCTGAAATTAGTAGAATAACCTTACATTCTCGAAATTAGTAGAATAACCTTCCATTTTAAAAAAATCCGATTTTATCCTCGGGAAGCTTTGATGAGAAAAAACGTATTTACAAAAATGCCATTATTAAATTATTTCCACGTCAGCCGTTAAAATCGGACACCCAGAAATAAGTCTATCAAGCTTAATGGTAGATATATAAGTTTTGGTAGATTTAAAAATATGTCGGTAGACATAATAATTTTTGGTAGACTTAATATTCCAAAAATAGATTTGTTTAGAGGTTGATAGACTTATAATGATAGATTTATTTTCATCGAAAGGTAGATTTAAAATTGTTGGTAGATATTTGAATGTGTTGGTAGACTTGTTGTTTTTTAAAGTAGATTTATTTTCAAGTTGGTAGACATAATGTTGTTGAGTTGACTTTATGAGATGTGGTTGACCAAAATCGGTAGACTTATTAACTTTCATAGTAGACTTGTTAGACACAAAAATAGACTTATTTCTAATAAATATAAATCTACTACAATATAAAAAATTTATTCGTGATAGTTTTGTTGTATGCATGGTAGATGTAAATGTCGATAATAGATTTGTTTTGAAATAATAGACTTGTTTTCTGTGTGGTAGACTTAAAAGTTCCGTTAGAGAGTATAGATATGTGATACACATATGGAACTATGTAATAGATATATTTGGCGGTGGTAGACTTATTGTTTTAAAAAATAGATTTATTTGATAATATGGTAGACATATAACTCATTTGGGAGCTTCGATGTTGGTAGAGTTATTTGAAAATTGGTAGACCTATTCGAAATTGGTAGACATATTGAAAATTAATAGACATATTTACTTCACTGAACGGCGCGTTAAGACAA